CCCCAAAACCCCAAAACCCCAAAACCCCGAGAATGTATAATATGTAGAAAAAGAAGCTAAGTAGTAAAATTTTGTAACTCAATAATTAAAGTAAGACCTTTGAAAGTGAGAGCGGATTAATATAAATTAAAGTAAAAGCTTTCAAGCCTAGTTCGTATGCCCTATTCTATCCTATCATCGCTATCCCCTTAAGTATTAAAACACAATAGTTTGACAATCTGAAGTAGAGCACCCTCGCTGAGCCTTCAAATATATTTATATTCCGCTCATTACGATTAATTATAATTCTCATTCTAATAGTTTCATATAGAGAGGTCTTACTTTCAGTCCTTAATTCCTCTCATGATATAATTAGAGTTGCTATCGCTTTGGTAGTCTTATCCTGCTCCTCCTCTGATAAATGAATCATTCTCATTTTAGCGATCATTGCTGCTGCCTCTATTCCTATCTACCAAACTACTCTCAAACTCCATGGTTCGGCTCTGATCCTCTGTATTTAAGTACCTTTGAATCAACTTTGCCTTCTCATACTTCTTTTTGCTGTAGTATTTTTAAAGGGAAAGGTTGTAGTTTTTGGAGATTCTCACTAAACATTGCGAGAAAATGCAGCAAATGAGAACAGTAAACAGAGACCCCAAGAAAACTAAAACTGGTTTTTACTAGATGAACTCTTAGAAATTCAGTTTAGGAGAGGAATGTGTCTGCTACTCTGATTTATCATCTATTGATTCTGATTACTAATCTTGTCCCTCAGTCAATTATGCTTGCATGAATGTTTTCAAAAATGATGAAAACGATTGATCTTATATCATCTCAACATTGCTTGAAGATTATTGCTATTATTATTATGTTTATGCAGCTGGTGTACTGGCTTAGTTTTATAATTAGTTATTGTTATTGCTATTGCCAAATTTTAATTAGCTATAACTAACACCCTTATCATTACTGATTTCATTCTAATTATTTAATGATTAGGCACTTGATTAAGATCTCATCTGGCTTAGTTTGTGATCAAGGCCTGCTTGAACACTTGACCTCACCTAGGCTGATTGCACATGTGAAGATAAAAGAGCTATTGAGATAGAAAGAGCAAGAAGATATTAGGTGCACCGAGAGTTATTTTATTTTCGGAATCGCTAAGGCATAAACTTCATACTTCTAATTTATTAATATATTTTGATTTTATTGATAATTCCACCTCCTTTTATCTCAAAATTTGTGCGATTGGGGTTTTGGGGTTTTGGGGTTTTGGGG